TTACAGAAACGGACAGCCAAGGGTTTGTTGTAAGCTATCGCTCGGTTAACAAAAGCGCAGTGGGCGGGCACCGGACGCTGTACCCCCCGGAAAGTCGGTATTGCTTCCTCTGGAATAACGGAGAGATTTTGCGGCGTACAAGAAAAATCTCTCCTGCCGACCCCGCGCTCGTCGCACGTCAAGGCGGATTATCAATCACACATAATTTGTGGCGGATTATCTATCGCGGCGGATTATTGATCACATGTCATTTGAGACAGATTATCAATCGCACGTCATTCGCGGCAGATTATCAATCACACGCCATTCGCAGTGGATCAATCGCATATCATTCATGGCGTATTATCGATCGCACGTCATTCGCGGCGGATTATCGATCGCACGTCATTCGCGGCTGATTATCGATCGCACGTCATTCGCGGCAGATTATCAATCACACGCCATTCGCAGTGGATCAATCGCATATCATTCATGGCGTATTATCGATCGCACGTCATTCGCGGCGGATTATCGATCGCACGTCATTCGCGGCGGATTATCAGTCGCACGTCATTTGCGGCAGATTATCAGTCGCACGTCATTCAAGGCAGGTTATCAATCGCAAATCACTCGCAGCGGATTATCATTCGCACGTCATTCGTAACGGATTATTGAACGTACGCCATTCGCGGCGGATTTTCGATTGCACGTCTTTCGTGGACAGATTATCAATCGCACATCATTTGCGGCACATTATCGATTGCACGTCACTCGCGGCGGATTATTGATCGTGCATTATTCGCCGCAGATTATTGATCGTACATTATTCGCGGCGTATTATCGCTAGCAAAGCCCGCCCCCTAAACAATTCGCATTTTTATCATTACGTTCTATAAGGCTGCTGCGGAACTTCTTAGAACTCACTGGCTGCCGATCATCCCGAAGATCTAAAAACGTCTTTCGCGTCGCGTTCTCATTTTTTAATACTAACGATTTCTCTCTTTTACGCCAAAGCGACATCATTACAGACACCATCACCCCGTATATATCTACGATAATACCATAAGAACATCAGCGCTACCCTAGACCTTCCCGCCCCTGCGCCAGCGACCCCCGGCTCAAACACGCACTCCGGCGTCGGCCCATTTGCGCCTTCTGATGCCACGAAAGACAAAGTTACATACGCCAAACCATCGCGGTTTGAATTTAAAGCGACATGATCCCAATTTTTTTTTT